CGGGTGGATCCCATCCGGCCCGATAGACTTGTGAGCATCCAGGTGGCGTAGCATGTCGTTGACCGCTTCCTTTTGGATTATGGGGGGTTCATCCTGCTCGCCATCCCTGACCTCCAGCTCAGGGGGCCGAGTACCCTGAGGATAACTGGTCTGCTTGCTAAAGACTGAGGCAAAGAAGGCATTAAGTACCTCAGCCTTTTCCTCATCCTCGGTGACAATGTTCCCCCCCGCATCCAATAAAGGATGGAGATTCCCCCTGGCTCTCTTCTTGTCATTAATGTATTTGTAAAAACTTTTTTTGTTGTCTTTAACGACAGCGGCCAGGTTGCGTTCTAGCTGGGCTTTTGCCTTTCTCATTTCCTCTCTGCACGACCTAACGAGATCCCTGTACTCTTCTTGAGTCGCCAAGGAAAGAAGATGCCCATGCATTTGTTACGATGGCAGCTTTGGTTATGGGACTCATCTAAGAACATGAGCCTTCAGTTCAAGGAAAGGACTCCTGACCAGACTTTTAAAGGTTGTTTTATGTGCCTAAAATACACATGAGCACCTGGGACTTTGTTGAGGTAGCCTAAACTCTGGTAAAGAAGATGCCCATGCATTTGTTACGATGGCAGCTTTGGTTATGGGACTCATCTAAGAACATGAGCCTTCAGTTCAAGGAAAGGACTCCTGACCAGACTTTTAAAGGTTGTTTTATGTGCCTAAAATACACATGAGCACCTGGGACTTTGTTGAGGTAGCCTAAACTCTGGTCAGTGTTTCCTACTGACTAGGTACCTTTGGAGATTTACAGCCATCCAATACCCTAAACAGAAGGACTTAAGAGCAATTTAGGCATTAAATTTAGCAGGATTCTCAAAAAACATTGGTTATATAATTCCCATCAGTTTCAGTAAGAATGATTGTCCTTTATGCTTCTCTCTGCACACTTAGTGCCTTACTACCTTGGGAAACACAGCCACTTCACAAGACACAGAGAGGAGGTAGATGGTGGTTGGTCTCACCAAGAAGGTGGAACAGCACTTCATCCTCAATGTTTTTGGCTACCAAATATCTATTCCAGCTCTCCTGGGGGATGGAGCTGCTATTCTTTCCTTCAGCATAGATTTGTGGGCTTTTTTCTAGGAGAGCAGAAGTAACTATTATTGTTGGCCCAGCTCTTCACAGCTGTACACCGTTTCCTCTCATTTCCAGGCAAGAGCCAATAAACTGAAATTATTAGGGATTAGCGCTCCAAGGCTTTCTAGCTGTGTGGGAAGAGCATTCTCCCCTCCACCTTTCCCTTGGCAGCTGAGGAGATGATTTCTGGGGACATGCACAGCCCAGGTTCCTTGCCTTGCTGCCCTTCTTGGGGAGCAGCAGTAGGTGTTGGTGGATGTGGCGCTCGCAGTCAGGTACATAGGGCAACCAATAATAGCCTCTATTTCAGAGGACCCAGTTGCAAACCAGGTGCATTGACACATAAGCAGGTCCTCATGTGCCCACGTAACAAGGGGGTGGGTAATGTTCTGGCCTTGCAAGAGAGATAGGTGTCCTACAGACTGAGAGCCCCTTGGCGTTCTGCAGCGGAGGGCCTGGGGATGGAAAGATGTGCCATCACCTGGGTAGCTGGCACTGCTGGACGCATCTTTGGACTCACTGTGCTGCTATATACAGATGACGTTTATGCTGTACAAACAAATCACGCTATTAAACCTCTTAAACAGTGTTTATGCAACTTTAACATGGTGAAGGTTTAATTTTATGACTTCTTCTGCACGGTTGTTAAAAATTCTGTGTCCACACTGAAGTGATGTGAAGATTATATCACTAATACTGGCTTACCAACCTAGCTGATGTGAGACTACGTTGCGCAGAAGGTGCTTGAGAGGCAGAACTGGGCAGAGTTTAGCTTTGCACAGCTCTTGCCAAGAGTTGCTTGGTATCCCTGTCACTGTTTTTTGAAGTCCAAAAATATTTTCCCCCAAATAACCTATTTTTCTACAAGAGAACACAGCTGCATTTATGAAAGTTCTTGGCTTTTACAGTAAATCTGGTTTGTATAGTTTCCTCTCTATATGTATGTTGCCTGCATAATAACCAATAGTCATAATGAAAAACACAGCTTTGTTACAAGAGCTTTCAACAGTGGTTTTCAGTAATTTAGAAAATATTGGAGCTGCTTCCAACAAAGGAAAAAATCAAAACAAAGCAGCTTTGAAAATGTTGATATACTCGGGGAAATAAATCTTCATTTTTAACCCTGTTCTGTTATTCTCTCTCTGATACTAAAACCCATATAAAGCACTATTGATTTCAACCAGCTCAACAGGAGATAGTGTAGGGCTTCCATCCTGCTCTGCCCTGCATTGTGGGGGGTAAATCTCGGCTGTGGTCCCATGCAACCTTTGACTGGGTTTTATGGGACAGCCTCTATTCAATGCTACATGCACTGCAAAAGCTGTCCTCGCTGCGAGAAGTAACTCACCTTCACTGCACCTCTTTTTCCGGCAGGACGTGGGAAAGTTGCTGGATTAAATTCTCCTCGATCATGAGACTTCTTGTATTAGAGGCACTCAAACTATACGGTCGTTCAAACCCCTGTTGAGTTCACAGTATTTAAAGATAAGAGCACAGTATTGCCAAGAAATGTGTCTTGTTGAGGCCCACGAACAAATTTATCAAAAGAAGGAATCTTATTTTTGCCTGCAGCGGGTAGAGGGTGCATCTCAAAGCAGCCTAAAGTTAAAGATAGATCTAGCGTCTGGTTCAGATCACGATATGAAGAAAGATTCAAGTTAATTAGTATTTATTCTTAGTTTATAGTTATTCCTTTTGGCTTGAGCTAACAGGCAGGAGTTGGAGCCCCACAAGGTTGCTTCTCCTGGGACAAGAGATGAATGAGAGATGGTCTCGGTGCTGAAAACGTATTTAGGGATGGGAATGTCTCTAAGAAAGACTGGCCATTGCCCCTGGGCTCTGTCAGCTAGCAGGGAGGGTGCTCTGAGGGGCGGCTCAGCGCAGGCAGGGAGGATCGGGTGTAGGCATGGACCGAGGCGTCCCAGAGGGCCATGGAGAAGGGGAGGTGTCCCAGGTCCCTCCTCGACCCAGTCCCCTCACACCTCCATGCCCACATGACCGCCGTCTGCTGCCTGTTGCCCTCTCTGGGTGTTTTCTGCCGTGGGGAGTGGTTGCGCAAGGGCAAGCCGGCTGCTGGCCAGCTGCCAGCCTGTGGAGAAGGCGGCTTTGCGGAGCCCCTCCAAGACTTTCAATTCCCCTTTCTTGCCACTCTTTTCTGCAATGCCACATGGGCTCTACCAGCAACAACACCACAGCTTGAGTGCAGCCATTTATCTTAAATGGAGCTGTTTTTTTCCTGAGGTCTCCCCACTGCTCCTGCAGCTGGGAGGGGCCCACCTGCTGGAGACCTGGCTTGGGACCAGACCTTCATGTTTTTGCAGCTCCCATTTTTCATACATTTTTTTCGCCATCGATGTTCAGCTGGCGTTGAGATATTCCTAGCAGGATCTCCTGTGTATT